AGTTTTGGGTTTAAAGTCATAAGACAATACACCTGGCTTGTTAGTTATTGTTCATACATTTTCTCTCATGTGTACTCTGTACTGTTCATCAGTTTCCTTGTCTCTATGTTTGTTAATAGGCATTTCTCTTCTAATGTGGTGTCCTTTTCAAAGGGAACAGAAATGATAGAGGTTTCCCTCCTATTCAGTTTCCTTCTAAAGTGACCTGGCGGTTACATTATAATATATATGTCAGGAAATAAGTATGAGGAGCACAAGAATTGTATGAATATACTGTCAAAGAAGTATGCATTTATAATGTTCTCAGTATCATGCTTTCTGCTGTACATATATGTGGGATATTTTAGAAATCATTGACCTATGATGATGTGCATATCAATGTCACTAGGGAAGAGTGGACATTGCTGGATCCTTTTCAGAAGAATCTCTACAAAGATGTGATGATTGAGAACTACAAAAACCTCACTATTATAGGTAAGCTAGTGTATTTTTTCTTCACATTTTAAAATAAGGGGACAACTGTTTCTTGGTTTTGGATATTTTGGGTGTAATTTGATTGAGAAAGAAGTGTGAGGTGAATAAATCAGGCATGTTTCTAAGATTCACTGAAGATAGTAACATAAATTTTACAATGTTTTCAATAATATAAATTTCCTGGTACTCTATTTTAGGATACAGTTGGGAAAATCATAATATTGAAGCACATTTTCAAAATCCTAGAAGACATGTAAGGTAATTTTCCTGTGCAAGCTGATAAAAATATGCCTGTGAAGAAAGTATATTTTGTCCTAGAAATTTTAAACAAAAGCAGCAGTGTAAATTTTCACAAAAACATAAACCTCATTTTCAGGTTGATGAGTTGCATTTGCAAGGCATTCTTTTAAGATCAATGTCAAAGAAACAATTTCTCAAAAGGCTTCACCATACAATCATAACACCATGAGAGCTATGCTGTAGAACTGTCAGTCTTTTTATTTCATAACATTCCTATTACAGAAGTTGCACAGTGAAGAGGTGATGAGTATATTGTCAAAGCTTTCTATTGAGCAAGTAGTCCATAGTAAAGATAGTGTATCTCATATACTTTTGACTGTGCTGTTTAGTTAGTGGGCCAGTTACAGTCAAAAGTCAAGGGATGTTGTTGAGAAGAAACTTTAATCCCTATACCACAAGTCTATGAGGACAGAAAGTCAAGTAGAATTCAATGTGGAAATCCATTATCTTTTATTCTTCCTTTACTAGCTATATCATCTGTCCTTCTGGAAACGACATATGATCATAGTGATATGGAAGACATAGCATACCTCATTCTTATAAAATTAGAAGATATGTAGCAGTCTCCACATTAAGTATACTTGTTGAATTTGATTCAAGTATGCAAGTAATTGATTTTCTATCTTCATTGTTAATATATTAACAAACTCATGCTACAGAGAAGCCCGATGAGTACTAGGACTGCTTAAATAAAACATGGGTGTAAAAACAATAATGAAATCTTAAGAACTGATTCCTCTTTAAAATTAGACTAAATTGTAAATTTAATTCATTCAGAAATAAAGAGTCAACAGTATAAAGATTATGGTAAAGACTTTTCATGTGCTTGTAGGCATGAAAGAAGTCAAACTGGAGAGAAGAAACCTTTCATATATACTAAATGTCATAAAACCCTTGTATATGAGAGTCATCTTCAAAGTCATGAAAGTGCACCTATGGGACAGAAACGCTTTCAATGAAATCAGTGTGTTAAAGCCTTTGCCAAACACAGTACTCTTTAAATAAATAAAAGAGTCCATACTGGAGAGAAATCCTATGAATTAATCAATGTGGTAAAGCTTTTGCATATCACCAAACTCTTCAAATGCATGAAAGAACACATACTGGACATAAACCCAATGAATATAATCAATGTAGTAAAGCCTTTGTACATCACAAACACCTTTAAATACATAAAAGAAGTCATTCTGGAGAGAAACCCTATGAATGTAATCAGTGTGGTAAAACCTTTGCACAATATGCTCATTTTCAAAGTCATAAAAGAACACATACAGCAGAGAAATCCTATGAATGAAAGGAATGTGGTAAAGCCTTTGCATGATTTAGTCATCGTCAAAGGCATAAAAGAACACATACTGGAGAGAAACCCTATATATGTAATCAGTGTGGTAAAGCCTTTGTACAATATGGTCATCTTTGGTGTTATAAAAAAACACATACTGGAGAGAAACTCTATGAATGTAATCAATGTGGTAAAGCCTTTGCACAACACGGTCATCTTCAAGTACACAAAAGACCACATACAAAAGAGAAACCCTATGAATGTAATCAATATGGTAAAGTCTTTGCACATCAACAAACTCTTCAAATGCATAAAAGAATATATACTGGAGATAAACTCTGTGAATGTAGTCAATGTGGTAAATTATAAGCTCATCACAGTACTCTTCAAATACATAAAAGAAGACATGCTGGAGCAAAAGCCTATGACCATAATTAACGTGGTAAAGTTTTTCGTCATCACAGTCATCTTCAAATGCATGAAAGATCACATACTAGATTAAAATCCCTTGAATTTAATCAATGTTGTGAGGACTTTCTTCAAACATAGTACTCTTGAAATGCATGAAACAACACCTACTCGAGAGAAATCCTATGAATGTAATCTGTGTGATAAAGCCTTTGTAGATATAAGTAGACTTTGAAATCATTAGAAAAAATCATACTGCAGAGAAACCCTACAAATATAGTCAGCGTCATACAGCTTTGCTCTTTATACACGAATAAACCTTTTTTGTGCAGCCAATCTCTTAAAGCCTTTGCATATTACAATAGACTTTGAGTACCTGCAGAAAGTACCGAGGGCACCAGGCATTGTTGGTGCATGCCTTTAATCCCAGCACTTGGGAGGCAGAGGCAGGTAGATCTCTGTGAGTTCGATGCCAGACTGGGCTACCAAGTGAGTTCCAGGAAAGGCACAAAGTTACACAGAGAAACCCTGTCTCAAAAAAAAAAAAAAACTACTGAGGGCTTAATATTATAAAGTATTTGGCAAGATTCTTATCTAAAACACTTGAATTCATTTACCCAATGGTGATCATTCTGTAAAAAACAATTTCAGAGTGTCAGCAATACGTTCATGCACCATGATGTCCATTTTTACAATGTTTGCCCCGGTAAAACAATGGAATAAATGAATTTAGTAGTTTATAAAGCCTTCTGTGTAGGGTAAAAGTTCAGCCAAAGAAACACCTGGAAACTAAAACCAGAGCCAGTGAAAAACTTTCAAGATGGCACTGAAACCGGAACCAAAGAAATACACTCTACCTCTGAACATGTGATGACAAAATCATCCAATCCATGAGCAGAAAATCCATCAATCTGTGAGCACAATACCAACCAATCACTCTACATGAAAGCCTCCCAATCTCTGAGCTTGATTTTGAAATCCAACCAATACCTATCCTCAATCTTTTCACTGGAAATCTCCATGACTATGAAGCCCCATAGAAGCCCTGTGTCTGTTCAGCTGGCAGCTGCCCATTTTCACAATGACACAGGCAGCCACTATTCTGGATTCCTCTCCCCTATATAAATCTCTTGATTTAGATTTGGGTGAAGATCTTCCTTTGCCAGAGCAGAGCAGAATCTCTGCAGGGTAACTCTCTAGGGCAGTGGAACAGAGAAATAATGGACACCTCTCCTGGGAAATTCTCAGAAGGGAGTGGAGAAGAGCAGCAAAGGACATCTCTGCTGGAAATCTCTCTTAGCTGAGTGTAGCACAGCTAAGCTGTAATGTCACTTTTTTGGTTAGGACCAGGTTTGCCACATCCTTCATTTAAACCACCCCACACTGGGATAAACTTTCAGGACTAGCCTAACTTTCTAATAGTCATTATTCCTATCTCCTCACAGATTTAGGTATCTAGCTTCCTTGCACTGCTTTTTTGAGCTGTGGGTATCCTGGAAACCTTTACTCCATAGCTTCAGGTAGAGCCTGAAACCCCAACAGCCAGGACATCTTTCTTCTCTCAATTGTATATAAGCAGGACACCTTCCACCCCCACTAGAGGTGTAGCCTAACTTTTGATACTCAGGGAACTTTTTCTTTCAGAGCAAAACACCTCCACTATGAATTTAAATAACAATGTAGTATTTTTAGATTTTACACTTTTTTTTTGGTTTTTCGAGACAGGGTTTCTCTGTGTAGCTTTGGACCTCTCCTAGGACTCACTTGGTAGTCCAGGCTGGCCTCGAACTCACTGAGATCCACCTGGCTCTGCCTCCTGAGTGCTGGGATTAAAGGCATGCACCACCACCGCCAGGCTTACTTTTCTTTAATTATATAAAAAAAACTAATTCAAACATAATAAATTTTTATTAGTTCCTTTGCGGTTCCTCTTATATAATGTGTATGTCAACTAATAATGAGTTTTATTTGGCCCCAGAGGGACACAGGATCACCATGTAAGTGGGATGGCAACAAATATCAGACATGGTAGCTGAACCGGGAACTCACATCCTTAGCCTGAAACATGAAGCATAGAGTGGGAAATGAAAATGATGTGTGGATATAATTTATCAAAGCCTAGCACCAGTGACACATTTCTTCAGCAGAACAGCATTTCCTAAACCTTCACAAATTATACTGCCAACAGAAAAGAATTTCTCTGACTTCAAGTACACATGCTTGTTTTCTGTTATATGAAGCAATTTACAATGAAGAAAATCTCTGTAAACCTTTAAAAGTCTCAAAACCTGTGTGAATGCATGGTTACAAATGAAAAGTTTAACAGTAAAAATTATTTTTTAAAGAGTTGTTTTAATTTTAATTATGTGATGTCAGTACATGTTTTTGGGGTATGTGAATTTGCACACCAGTTTCTGAAAATGTTAGGCTCTTGAAACTTCCTGTAGCAAGAACTAAAGGAAGTTATCAAAATCAAGACTTATTCCTGGGAATGAACTTTCCTTAACTGCCCAAGCATGTCTCGAGCCATGAAAATATTTTAAAACCTATTTATATCATGTTAAAATCAGGAAATATGGACAAACTCATACACAAGAAACATTTTATTCATGTAAACAACTTGGTACAGATTTTAGACATCACAATTGTCTTCAGCTTAAAGAAAAAGATCTTACTTCATTTTCTTTTCATCATAGCCTTGAAGGAAGTAAATTAGTTACTATGTTTAGTCAAGATTGATGGGGGAGATCAATGCATTTTCATTTCTCTTTTGAAACATTTGAGTTAGATATCAGAGTGTGCTATATATGTGGCAAGTTCATTTAGTTAAATTTACTTTTGGGGTCTTCATATTCCTTCTGTGACTTTTGTTCATCTTCCATTGTGTTTTTACTTAGTGATATGTATTTTTCTGTTGTAATACATAAAATGGGAATCCAATCATCTTACTAGTCTAAGGTTTATTTAAATACCAGGCAGTGTATGATCATACTTTCTGAGTAAGAGTGTCTGTGAAAGGGTGGTGTGTTGTGGTGTTTGGTTTTGATTTCATGTTTTCACAAATTCCCTTGAGATTTTGTTGTTGATATTAAGCCTGACATTGATTTCAGTAATGATTCAAGAATATATTTGAACTCATGGTCCTCATGTTTCTACCTCTAGAGTAGTCCAGGAGTAGATAATCTACTCCCAATGTGTGCTGTTTTGTAAGACAACAATGTTAATTTTAAGATGCTTAATACATAAGAATATAAGAAACATTAAACATTTTATGTGTGTATTCAAAGCCATATATCATGTATCTGGTACAAATGTAATAAAGTAGAATAATCAGCAATCAGTTGTTTATCTTACATCATCAGGGCAGAGCTGTTGTGAGCAGGTTGAGGAGTCCAGGATACCTCACCCTCCAGGGCTGAACTGTCCCCTTGCAAGTCTAGCCATCAGAGCTGTGCTAAACAGCTCCAGGTGTCCAGGCCACCTTCAGGGCAGAGCTGCTCTTAGAAGCTCAAGATGTGAGGGATACCTTGTGCTCCAGGTCTAAACTGTCTCCTTGCATTTCCTGACATCAGAGCTGTCTTAAGCAGCTCAAGGTGTTGCCTGACTCGCAGGTAGTCAGGACAATTTTCCGCAGAATTGTTGCAACACATTTACCTACATTGTTGTTGCTAAAACCCAGGACCAAACCCAAGGAATGGCATACAATTTACTTACACCTATTCTGAGTCTAGGACAGGAGAGGCAGGCTGTTTAGATGATGGGAGGTGGAGGTGCATGAGCTCTCTCAGGAGGTTTGCTGAAATAGCTATCTAAGAATTTACTTGGGATCTACTCAACAGGTGTGTACCCTCCAGAATCTGTGAAGATGTTTCTCCTGTATGCAAAAACAAATTCTCCATGATCATACCAGTGACAATGGAGACAAAAATAACATCATTAACAGTTTTGAGAATGGGACTAAACATCATGACAGATTTATAAACTCCCCAAAGGAATATCTACGTATCACTAAAATAAGTACACTGGCAGAACTATAATGCTCAAAGTGGTGCTCCCAATTTTTACCAAGGTATCACCTGGGAACTGTGAGACAGGGAACTCCTCATGTCCAACCACAAATCCCTGATTGCAGGGAATAGTGGGATATACATGCACAAACACATGGAAAAATATACAACACATACACATGTGAGAGACAGAGAGACAGAGAAAAAGATACTTAGAGAGACTGAGTGAGAGAGGGAGAACTCCATCAATTGGATGCTGAGCAAATGCATGAAGGTGTGTCCTATCAGAGAGGAACAAAGGAGCAGTGATCAGTCTCAATCCTTGTATCCACACATTTAGATGTGCAAATAGGCCTTTCCAACTGCTGCTTGGAGAATCAAACACCCAAGGTCTTTCCAAGCAAGTAACAAAACAATCAACTCAAACTCACAGCAACTAACATCTCACACTAGCCAGCACCGGATAGACTCTCTTAAACTACATGCTGGGAACTGACATACTACTGCCTCAGTCCATGAGTACTGTGACTCATGCTGCAGGCTCTGTTTTTGTTTCTTTTTAGAGGAAGCAGAATAGTCTTTGTCCTCATGACATTTTTTTCCACATTTGAGGTTCTGCCTTTGGGAAGAATTCAGAGACATGATTTTGGGCAAAGACATACCCTGAAGATACAGCCTACCAGAAACACAAACCTCATATAAAATGAATTAATTATGACAGAGTTGACCTAAGATTGAAACCACAGTGTTTGAAAGAATGAATACCTATTCTTCATGCTCTCTTCTGTGATAAAGATCAGGCGATCTCACTGCTACTTTGTTTCAATGGTCATTTGCCATTGCTGACAGGACAGTCTCTGCACCTTCTGCTTCACCTGCATCTTGGTGAGGAAGATTTGGTGGGATGGTGGTTCCCTGGTGCTCCTTGTGGGTAGTTGAACACAAATTACCTTGCAGTATGACAAGGCAAAGAGGATAGGCAGACCACCCTGAGTCCTAAACAAATGTTTGAGAAAGCTTCTTTACCAATGACTCAGTGACACCCCACATTATTTTGCCCCATGCTTCAAAAGCCCTTTCTGTGGAGATCAGCTGTCTTCTCTATTTGAAGGGAAGTGGTTATCCCAGCTATCTGGTTCTCTCTGTCCTCATAGCATATGCTCCAAGTAACCAAGGAAATAGCCTCTTCAGCGTTATTCACAGCTTTAGACTCAATTCAACTTGGCTACAGTGTCTACAAGCCTGTGGGTTTGTGAGTCAGGAGAAAATTGCCATAGTTAACAATCACCCCAGTCTTTTAGAGGTTCCCCAAATATCTTGACAGGTCACTAACCATCTAACCATTGATGGAGAAGACATATAAGGGCAGAACATGGTCACCAGACTCAACAATTCACCTCAATGACAACTCAGGTCACACAGAGCAGCTGGGAAGAACCTAAAGTTAGCCAGTGTCATTGAAGTACAGTGATGTCCTGCCATGAATTGAACACAACTCATTAATCCCTCCCTCTTTAATGTTGTTCTTATGTTCAGTCATCAATGCCTATCCTCCAAAAGGGATGAAAGCCAAGAGTTCCCAGCATAAAGCATTGGCCTTACCAGTTCCTGTCTTCTGAGGCAAAACAATTAATATCCTAGAATCCTTGAATTTCAAGAGCCACGACTAGCAGGGAAGTTCTGTTGGTTCCCAGAGACTCCAACTTTCTGTTCCCCATTACTGGAAGATTTAGCTGAAGCCAACTTCCTCCAGGAAGCTTCCATTTTCCTGCACAGTACTCATTGCACCATTCTCTCGACCATTTCTTCCTTGATGTTTTACACTGAGGCCAAAGGTCAGCTTTTTTCTGTCACTTTTTGCTCTCTCTACCCTCTCCATCTCTTTCTGAATTAGACTCTTCACTATGCCATCATGTTCATCAGTAAATGGTGAAGGCTGTGAATAAACATCCCAAGGACAGTTGGTGTGGCCACAACATAGTGACATCACAGAGAATGCCAGGGCTCCCCAGGATACAATGGAATGTCTAGGGAAGAGCTGCAGATGTCAAGGGAACTGACATTGCTTTCTTCCTAATGTGCTTTCCTCATAATACACTAGAAGTCAAGCTGTCCTTAGAAGGAGCCTCTGCTGGGATACAAGGGAAGCCCTTCAGCACCCCATTCTTCCAAAGCCAGAGTTCTCTCCCTGATTGATTGGACATCCTTTAGTTGTTTCCAGGTGTGGAAGTGAATGTTTATCTCCTACTGAAATTTTATGCACACAAGGTAATAATATTATAGAAATTTATATATGATATAGTTCACCATAAGTACCTGCATCTTCTTATCTCCTTAGTCACAAGACATTATAGACTTATTTCTGACTGAGAAGGACACTTGTTAAACAATTTCTTGGTAAAGAGTCTATAGTAGGAAACATCTGTGCAGAGTTATGCTAGAAGAAGAGACTAATACACCCTAGGAAAAAGTAACCATAGGAGTGTGATATGGTCATGGAGCTCAGTGTGACTAAAATCTGTGTCATTAGCACGTGTGTAGTGGGTGTTGTACTCTCTGTTGAGTAGCTCAAAGTGGTCTGCTGTTATTGGTTAGTAAAGGAGGCCAGACATCTGGAGTCCCCCACACAACATGAGTTTCCTATAGAACAAAGGATATTCAGGGAAATCCTTTGCAAGCCCATTCATAAATAGAAACATAGACACTAGGGTTTCACTGGACACTCTAGATCAATTTTTCTTATTTTTTCTAATTCTCTGACCCTTTAATATCACTAACAGTAGTTAATCATGTTTTGGTGAACAATCAACATAATTGTTTCATTATTTCTTGATGTTAATTTGGTCACTCTTATGAATCATAATTCAAATATTTGATTGCAGGATATCTGCTATGCAACCCCCAATGGGGTTGAAGACCACAGCTCTGAATGCAGCCAGAAATCTCCTCAAATCCTGGCAGTGATGCTGGGCATTGTGATTCTTAGTTTTTATTATCAGACTGAATCAAACTAGTCACCTGGGAAGAGGGATCACCAATGAGGAATTATATGGATCAGATTTACTTTGAACATGTCTCTGTAGGATTTTATTAATTGTTAATTGAGATAGGAGTCCCTAAAATGGGAAGAATCATTTCATTGTCTGCAATCTGTGCTGTGTAAGTATTAAGAACTTCAAGCTTAGGCATAAACAAAGAGGCAGCATGGGTCATTTGTTTATTTATACTCTTGTCTGTGGATGTGATATGATTAGCTGGTTCCTACCATGATTTCCAAAAAATGGAATTATTACCTGGAATTGTGGCCTATGATATATTTTTCATATTCTAAGTTGCTGTGCTTGATAACTCACTGTAATAAAGATGTTAAGAATTCACTCTATCACAGAGGGGTTTTCACAACTCAGTGAGATTCGTATTTTATGAAATGCTCAACAGCACCATATCTGTCTCAGAAGAGATCCTACTTCCTCCTGAACCCAGAGGGCCTGATCCAGTTGCATTGGTTCTCCTCAGCTACTGGTTCACAGTTCATATGTTTCCACTAGTTTTGGTATTTGTCCCTGTGCTTTTTCTAATCACAGTCTCAATATCTCTTGCTCATATAGTTTCACCTCTCTCACTGATTGGATTCCTGGAGCACCACCTGGGGCTTGGCTGTGGATCTCTGCACCTGCTTCAATCAGTCACTGGATGAGAGTTCTATCGTGACAAGTAGGGTGTTCAGCCATCCAATCACCAGAATGGGTCAGCTCAGGTACTCTCTCAACCATTGCCAGTAGTCTATAGTGGTGGTATTTTGTGGCTTTCTGGAGACCTCTCTAGCACTCTGCTTTGTTCTATTCCCCTTGTGTCTTCTTTCATCTTTGTATCTCTTTCCTTTTTCTCCCATTCTGTTTCTGATCTATCTTGGACCTCCTGCTCCCCTAATCTCTCTTTACATTGACCCCTGCCCTCCATTAACCACCTCACCCCCAGTTTGCTCATGAAGATCACATCCATTTCTTTGTCACTGGGTGATCCCTGTGTCTTTGTTAGGGTCCTCTTTACTAGGTAGCCTCCTTGGAGTTGTCAGTTGCAGTCTGGTTGTCCTTTGCTTTATTTATATTTAGAATCCATTTATGAATGAGTACATACCATGTTTGTCTTTCTTAGTCTGGGTTACCTCACTCAGGAAGACTTTCTCTAGTTCCATCCATTTGCCTGCAAACCTCACGTCATTGTTTTTCTTTGCTGAGAAGTACTCCATTGCATACATGTAACACATTTTCTTTATCCATTTCTTCAGTTGAAGGGCATCTAGTTTGTTTCCAGGTTCTGGCTGTTATAAATAATGCTGCTATGAACATAGCTGAGCATGTGTCCTTGTGATATGATTAAGCACTCCTTGGATATATGCCCAAGCATGGTATAGCTGGGTCTTGAGGGAGGATGATTCCCAATTTTCTAAGAAAGCATTCTTATATTAAGTTCACCCAGAATGATTTTTATTCTTTTTGAAATCCTTGTGCCTTCTTACATGATGCTCCCTGAGCCTTGTGTGTATTAATTGGAATAAGCCAGGAATGTTTGCATGTTTCTTTAATTTTATTACCAGGAAAGGACAAAGTACAGAGAGTTTTATTGAAATGACCCACAAATCGTAATTTTTATAAAATATGGATGACAGGTTCTTAAAAAGGAAGACATGCCATCTCTCCAAAATGTCATGTACTTAAGAATGATATTGAATCTGATTTCATTGGCACAGGCATGATTAATACACAAATGAATGCTCTCTCCCTCCCTGCACACACACACACATGTCCACACTCACAAACATCTGTGAACATAAAAGTAAAAAATATGTATGATGTAAAACAATATGCTCATCACATTGGCTGATCTAACTGGGACACAGATATGAATGTGCAGCTGGATTTTATATTTAATTAATTGCTTGACATGTCTGCAATCAGAAATAAGTCATTCTTTCTTGTCCGCAAAACCAAGAACAGAATTTAATGATAGAATATTCATGGCGCTGCTTCTCAGTTTTTATCTCCTTAAGAAAGTCTCAGTAGCTCAGTGGTTACAGAGAGAATAGAAATTAAAACACATTTCATGTCTGTCTCAGTGTATCACACTCAATATAAAGTGTGGTTATTTTCAAGGGTTTTATTGATTTTTCTTTTTATTCTTTCTTTTTGTTCTTTTTTTCTTTTTCTTTTTCTTTTTTTGTTCAGAGCATCCTGTTTGGCTGGCTGTCCAGGATGTAGGTTGACATGGTTATGATTTTTCCAATGTCATGTTCCTCAGGTAAGGTTATGATAACATGGACTATTAGCAACAGTGTGATGAAACACACTATATTACTCTGAAAGACGAGATGAGACTCTACAAGATGAGGTTCTCTGCCGTGTCATAGAGAATGAGGATCAAATTCCTCTTTTTAAATTGCTGATTTATGTCATGATGTGGGGAGAAAGGGAATTCTTAAACTCAAAGCAACAGCT